TCTTAAAGTTGACACTCAATTGTAATGGAGAATGTGGGAAACCCACTTGATTGTACCGCTGTATGTCCAAAGATGGATGATGGATGGGAAGTGTCCGATCAGCCATGAAAACAGAGAAAAATGGAGAGCTGCTGGGGGCACAGGTGTGGGGCTCTCACCAGCATTATCTGGGCTTTGCTGAACTTAACATCCAGTTCCCTTGGCTCACCCTGCCCCCTGGTGCCTGAGGGACCTCAAGCTACAACTATAAGACCGTTTGTGAAAGTAACTAGCTCCTCTTCTTTTCATTCCGTGCTCTCCTGGAAAGTACCAAACAAATGTGGTTCCTATAGAATCTGGATTTTAAGAAATCAGGCCCACAGGGAGCAAATGCCCAGGGCAGGCAGACCCATGTGCTCCAGATGGGCTGATATTTCAGTTCTTGTCATGATTAGTAAGCTGCCAGTCTGCTCCCCGAGTAAGTCTCTGTGAGTTTGCCAATGTGAGTTTGCGTCACAGTCACAGGTACCCTTCAAACTCTTTAAGGGTAGAGTTCTGTGTCCCTGAGGCCGAGAGGCAGACCCTCCACTAGGGCAATGCCTCTGGGCCTCTCAACAACATCCTGATTCTCGACATGGCACAAGCTCATGAGCCCCCGAATCCATGCAGGCAAGCACAGTACCATCATCTGGTGATCAGAACACTTTCTCTTAAAAGAATTGGATCCTGAGACTTTCTTAAAACACTATCTTTCAGAAACATTACCTTTCAGGATACCTGTTCTATCCTTATTATTATTATTATTGTTATTTTTAATGATGAAGATGTTTCTGCAGTTCAGAGAGTCTAAGTTCCCTGCTTTCCCTCAGTCCTGACAACAGAGCATGCACGAGCCTTCATCAGAGCTCTCAGAACATTTAATCTTTCCATTCTAATATTCAGTTTTCCTGTTGAGGCTCAAAATAAACAGGCAGCTACTGAATCTAGGTTCTCTTATAAATGGCTTATATAATTGCTCTAAAATCTGCACCCAGAGATTGACCGGTGCTCTCAGAAATGTCTTAGGGAAAAGCCCCAGAGTCTTTGCAAGCCTGGTGCAAGAGAACCCTCTGAAAGAAAGACCTCCAGGAGCTCCAAAAGGCCCGGGAGTAACCACCTGAATCCACACCCCAGAAGAAAATATGCCAGCCTTGTCAGAAGGCTTTGCTGATGCCTACTGATTCAAGAGGTCTGCCGTTGAATAAATGCTGTGTGCTGCTGTCTACCCTAATCATCGCACATCGTCCTCTTTTCTGGGTGAGTGACTGCAACCCCAGCCATTGGCAAAACAAGATGACATCTGCTGAATCTGATGGCAGAATCATGTTGCAGGCTCTGTCATTCACATTGTGCATTCGTGTTAATGATTCTAATCATCTTTACACAGTCAACTCTGCACACGACAGCCCTGTCTCCAGTCACGCTGTCACCAACTCACCAACACTCTGGGTGCAGTAAAAAAGGCTGGTGTAACAACCAGTGCAAAGCTGGTTGGTGGGTTTTATAGGTCAGAGGGGATGAAAAGGATGTAATACTTTGAATCTTCTAAAAGCTAAATGTCACATTATACAATCATTTCTCAGCTGTAGGTATTACTTTGTCTGACAGGTACAACTATTGTTTCCCTAAAATTGAGTTTTCTGCTTCTTAGGAACAAAGGTAAAAGACCTATCAGAGGGACGGTGGCTGCCTGTCTGGGGTGGGAAAGATGCCCATGGGCCCCCAAGAGCATGCATGCCTCAGTGAGCAAGCCAAGACGAGTCCACTCATCACTGACAACTTCACTCTCTCAGCAGGAGTCCTCCTGCAATACTTTACGTAACAGGGCAGTGCTTCTAGAAAAGTATGCCATGGACTCTCACTTGAACGAATTTATTGCCCCATAAAATATGACTGGGGACTAGAAGGCAGGGTGCTACAAGGTAGGCAACCACAGGCTTTGTCCATTTGTTAAAATAATTATCCAGATTTTACCTCAGCATTCAAAACCATACTACCTCAGCCAGAATCAAGAAGGTGGCAAAAGTCTGGTAGGATGGCGAGCTTGCAAAGATCCTTTAGCCAGAGGGAGAGGCATCACCATGGAGGCCTTGGCATCCAAATGTTTTGGATGTGAACACCCTTTATCAGGCTCAAACAGGTAGTCAGGGTGGTCCCCTGCTACCCAACTCTAAGCTCACAAGGCCATGTGAGTCTTTGTCACTTCCATCAACCAGTATGGCAGCCTGTCCAAGGAAGGAACCCAATAGATATAAAGAAGATGAATGAACAAACATAAAATATCACTGCCAGGCAGCAGATGCCCACCAAATATGCAAAGGACATGAAGATTGTGCCATCCTGTACTCGCTTGTCTCTACACATACATAAGGCACTAGATTTCTTTTTAAAGGCTATTCATCAAAGTTCTTAGATGCACTGGAATCCCCAGGGAAGCTCACCAAGACAGCAAGCTAATTCTGTGCTTATGTGATGAACTGGAGTCAGATTTCTTCCACCGTTGCACAGTTTTAGCTGGAGTCTTCTCACACTTGTGCTAATAGTAATTACAAAGACTGGAATAGTTAATATGTATGGGGCATTCACAAAGGACCAGGCTGTGTGCTAAGGAATTCATATGTGTCATTTTGGCTAATCTTCTCAACAATTTAACAAGGTCGATATGATTATTCCTGCAATTTAATAGATGAGAACACAGTTGTCACTCAGTATTCATGGGAGATTGATTCCAGGACACCCTGCAGAAAGCAAAAATCCACAGATGTCCAACTTTCTCATAGAAAACGGGAGAGTATTTGCATATAACCTATGCACATCCTCCCCTATACTTTAAGTCATCTCTAGATTACTTATATCTAATACAAAGTCAACACTATATAAATGGTTGTAAATGTTATGTATATAATTGTCACTACACAGCAAATTCAAGAGATCCAAGCTTTACTTTTAGGAACTTCCTGAAATTTATTGTTTAGTATTTTCGACCCAAGGTTGATTGAATCCACAGATGCAAAATCCAGAGATGCTGAGGAAACAGTCAATGAATTGATCTTGAACAGAACAATTAAGTGACAGGGCCAGGATTCAAGTTCAAGTCTATTCAATGCTGCAGGCTAGAGTCACAGCCACTTTCTATAAATGTCTGCCAAACCTCTTTCCTGTGTCTTAGTTTTAAACATTTCCTACACAGATACTACCAAGGGCTAGTGTCTTTTTTTTTTCTCAGGGATGAATTCTGTTAGCCGATAACCCACCACTACAACCATTATCAATAAAAATGGCTCAAATGATTTTGCTTGGTGGAAGATGTCTACTGAATGGTGAGCCCTTCTCCGTTCTGTGAATTTATTCTCCTCCTAAAATATGGTTCAAACCTAGACGGTGGGGTTGTCACCACTTAGACAGACACCTGCATCTACACCAGAGCTTCCCAAACCCTAATGTGGAAACAGATCACCTGCGGATCTTGATAAAATGTGGGTTCTGATGCACAGGTCTAGGATGGGGTTCAAGAATTTCTAAAAAGCTCCAGGTAAGGCTGACAAAGTGTGGTCCCCGGACCAGCAGTGTCTCAAGGATCTAGAAAACACTGGGAAGCAGAATTCTCTGAACCTCAAACTTAATTCCCAGAGATAATACAGATGTGGAACCAAGCATCCTTCAGCTAAACAAGAAAGACAGCTATCAAAAAGCCTAAAAGGTGCAGCCCTTTGTTCAAACCAATCTACAGGCCATAATCTTGGTGAGTACAAACACATTTGGCTCCTTGAACAATCATATCCATCCATCTAAGCAGTGTATACACCAGCAATGCTGTTTAGTATCCTTGGTAATCAACCCACTAGTATTGTAGCTACCTTTCCCGAACCTCAATTCCATGGAAATGTGATGGGTCAAAGTTTATGGTCCAGTAATAGAGCCCCCACGGGCATGAAGAGAACACAGGCCAGAAAAAGTGAGCAGAAGGCATGAGAAAGCCTGAGCCAAGAGCTCTGAACTGAAGAATAGCTTGGAAAAGACCAAATCACTGTACCCTCTTAGAATGTAAGGTTCTTCTAACTTTTCAACATTTCCTGTTAGAGTGTCATCAGAGAAACAACATGCTTGCTGTGATGCAAACAAAGGTGGACTGGCTCATTTAAACCACAGCATTGTAAAAATGGGTTCTCACAAAGAGAAAGTACAGCTCAGAGGGATACGTGCGCACACGCGCACATGCTCACACACACACACACACACAATGGGTATGTGTGTGTATTTGTTGTTGTTGCTAAGTCTAGTTTGCTAGACTTTGTCTAGTTGCTAAGTCATGTCCAACTCTTTGTGACCCCATGAACTGTAGCCCACTAGGCTCCTCTGTCCATGGAATTTCCCAGGCAAGAATACTGGAGCTGATTGCCATTTCCTGCTCCAGGGTATCTTCCCAATGCAGGGATCGAACCCATGCCCCCTGCATTGGCAGGTGGGTTTTTTTTTTTGACTACTGATCCACTAAGGAGCCCATGCATGTGTATACCTGACCAAATGTGTGACACACATACACAGAGTCGGGAAGATCAGCAGGCCTCATCCTGCATCCTCAGCTTCACAATGTGCTTTTCAGCTACTTCCACAACATTAGTCACTTCACCACCCAAGGACACACTATGCAGGATACAGGCCATACACTTACCAATGGAGCCCCCAACAGTTTCTGTCATTTATTTGGTTGCTTAAACGCTCCAGGTACCAAACCAAGTGCTTTACACACATCATCTTGTTTAGTCACACAACAACCCTAGAAGAAGGCTCTCTGATGAGGAAACTGGGGTTTGTGGAAGATAACTTGTTCACACACACCAGGTATGGGGCAGCCAGTCCATCAAACTAAAATGCCAGGGCTCTTCAACAACAGACATCCTCACCCCACACCCCCAGCCCATCATGGAGGCGGCAACTCTGACAGCAGGTGGTGCACTGAGAGCCGAGCCACAGAGACTTACGTTTCCTTCCTTTTCAAAGTCAGGCGGCAGTAACTTGACGAAGTTGTCAGGAAACACTCCTCGTCTGCCGTTCAGCTCTCCTTCCCACCAGCCCACATCGATGCAGTCCTAGGAAACAGGAGAGCAGAGTGAGAAAGGGGGCAAGTGCCTCACAGAGAGCTCTGACGCCCCTTGTACAGAGATGGAAGCATTTTCCTTGAGGCAGCCATCAATGGTTCCTAAGACTCAACAGCATAAACCCCAAAGTTGGATGGGAGGACAAAAGCTCTGGTGTCCTAGAGCTGCCAGCTGGGACTCGAAACCCAGTGGGGCTTTTAGAGGCTCTGCAGATGGTGACTGCAGCCATGAAATTAAAAGACGCTTGCTCCTTGGAAGAAAAGCTATGACAAACCTAGACAGCATATTAAAAAGCAGAGACATTACTTTACCAACAAAGGTCTGTCTAGTCAAGGCTATGGTTTTACCAGTAGTCCTGTATGGATGTGAGAGTTGGACCATAAAGAAAGCTGAGCACCAAAGAACTGATGCTTTTGAACTGTGGTGTTGGAGAAGACTCTTGAGAGTCCCTTGGACTGCAAGGAGATCTAACCAGTCCATCCTAAAGGAAATCAGTCCTGAATATTCATTGGAAGGACTGATGCTGAAGATGAAACTCCAATACTTTGGCCACCTAATGCGAAGAGCTGACTCATTTGAAAAGACCCTGATGCTGGGAAAGATTGAAGGCAGGAGGAGAAGGGGACGACAGAGGATGAGATGGTTGGATGGCATCACTGATGCGATGGACATGAGTTTGAGTAAACTCCGGGAGTTGGCGATGGACAGGGAGGCTTGGTGTGCTGCAGTCCATAGGGTCGCTGAGAGTCAGACATGACTGAGTGACTGAACTGACTGAGAGCAATAAGATCTTTTTCCCCTCTTAAAGATAGGAGAAAATATATTTTCTTCATTTTAATTTTAACACAATGAAATTTTTTCATTAACTGCAAATGTGGGTTAGAAAACATCACACACACAAATGTTCTCTTTGATTAGCCTGTCACAAAGTTTGTTGAAATTAAGAAGGGCTGGGTGACAGTCAGCCAAGCAGGAGAAAAATCCCACTCTGTGCAAGCTCATTAATGCACCTTCTCCTCTCCATGTTGAGGGGGCACAGTCGTCATCATGAAAAGCCCTTCATCCCACCTTCCAGAGCCTAGTGTTTGCTCACTAAATGAAAGAAGAAATCTAGTCATTCTTCCAGATCAAACCTGCTTCCCTTGGAATAACCCCTATTATGTTCATACACTTGTCGAACATTTGAGTGCCTACTCTGTGCCAAGTCCTGGGGACAGAGCTCAGCGTAGCCTTCACAAGCTTCCATCCCGAGCCTAATGGCCCCATGGTGCTCCCAGGTACTCACCCTCATTCCAAAGAACCACCTGTAGGTTTCCCCATCTTCAATGGGTGGGAAGTTTGATCTTCTCTAGTTTGATAATAAATCTCGTATTTGTTCTCTGGGTCCAATTCCACTTTTCCCACCCCAATCCAAGACCTACCGGCCTGTTAATCTCCTCACTTGGGCATTTAATCCTTCCCTGTGTATGTACAACACATGCACCACTGTCAAGTGCAAGTTGTTGAGTAAAAACCCAATTCTCAGACTGTGATCAACAGCTTCCAGCTAAAACTCCAAATGAGCAAAGGCTTTCCCCCAGAAAAATGCTATTAAAATAAATGCTTGAAAAAGTGAGGAATTCCTGCTCAGGGCCCACAGAAACACACTCGTGGTCCTTCACAATACCAGTGGGGCTGGGGGAGGGCTCAGGCAGACTCAAGCAGCAGATGTGCAGCTGGCCTTGGGCCTGGCACTGAGCCCTTGGAGGCCCTGGCTTATGTGACTCATGTGTGCCTTGCTAGAGCATCCAGTCCAGCAAAGAGAGAAACACAGCTGAATTTTTCACCATCATATTCCCAGTCTAATGCCACATATAATAAGTATTTCTGGAATCAATGAAGGCTCTTTCTAACACCAAGTTCTGTGATCTCCCTCAGTCCAAGACTAGGATTACTGCAGGACAAGATAGTCTCTATCTGCCCCAAGCTGTGAGGATTCTATGTAAGTTAAGGCAGAGTCCACCTCAGGTGAGAAGTAAATGCTCATCATCGTCTCTTCCCACAGGGGTAACTGTAACAAGGCTAGACCGACTCTTTAGAAGAGAACGTAGGTTTGGGAAGTGGGTCCTACATCACCCCATAAATTCTAGTCCCAAGAAACATCCTTAGACAAAGACTCTTGAAGCATCAAGTGCAGATTTACTCAGAACAAAACAAGGTTAAAAAAACTTACAACCTAAAAGAATGCTTATCTTTCTTGGAAAATGACAATGTGAAGCCGAGCTAAGTATTTTGGTCCTGCCCATGTCATATCACTCTCTGAGCAATCTAGCATCAGTCCCGAGATAATGGATTCATGAACAAGGGCTGTGGAAGTAGAATCTGATGGGTTGTGAGTTTCTTCCATCTCTGAGAAACCATTATGTCCTCAACAGTATGAGGAAAACTTATGAAGGAGCAAGGGTGGAAATGCTTTACTCCTCATCCTTAAAAATTAAGTCTTTCAATCCAGAGCCTCTGTTTCTGAGGAAATGTCTGGAATTTTTTTTTTCTCTTTTTTTTTCTGGACAAGCTCTTGTCATCTTCAAAACCCAATTTGAAACTCACCTGTAGGAAAGTGACTATAATGAGAGCTTTTATCTTTTCTCTAACACTCAGAACTGTGTTAATTTGCATTTCCTGATATTCCATTTAACAACTATTATATATAAAATATATGCCAGTTCATTCTGTAGGCACCAAACATTAAACATGCAAAAGAACATGATCCCTAACTCCAGGAAGCTAAGAGATGTGTGTGAAACACACACATGCACACTAGCACTCACATAACATACAAGGTCCTTTTTTTAATAACTGTATCAACTATGGGCTCTGGTACCAAAGAGAAAAGAATCATTAACCGCTTTTCCAATAATCGTAGATCTTTTCATGTGTGAAGGGTTTGCTTATATGAAGGCTGAATTTTTCTCCACGTTCATTTCAGATCATCTGATACAGACTGAGGTCCTTAAAAGGCACTCAAATATTGTTTAGTGCTATCTTTCTTTTGAAGGCTTTTTTTTCAACTTTCTAAATGGTGCAAATCCATGCTTCCCATTAGCCTTATGCAATCAGTAACCCAAGAACCACTGTAATGAAACTTTCTGTTTTGTATGCCAGAAAAACAATAAAGAACATTTTAATAAGCAAAAGCATATTCAGAATAACTCCAGAACTTATGTACGCCTACAGGAATAAACAGTGCATATGACAGTATATTTATTATACCTCCCATCAGTGATGAATAGCTCGCATGGCTCATCTGAGTTCTGCTTTTTCAGGAAAACATGGATAGTGCTAATCACTGTGTAATTCAAGGTACGAGAGGGGAAGCATGAAGGTGGAACACAGTGTGTCTAATCATTCTGACCGGTATAAGAACACACACAAGGTTCATGGATAAGTACACTAAAAAAAGAAAACTGACAGCATGACTTAGGATACTAAGAAAAATGAAAAGGGCATCTGCTGCAGGACAGAAAATAGCCACAGGGTCAAGATGCCTGCAGTGGGAGCGAGATTTAGAGAACTGAGACTTTTTTTTCCCCTAGCAATAGAAGCTAATTTAAGGGAAACGAAAAATTCTGACAGCAAACTGAGAACTGAAAATAAGTCCTCTTCAACAAACCAGACAGAAGAATGAGGCTTTTGGTGGCAGAGATGAAGAGAGAATTATTTGTCTGAGGGCTCTGCTTCCAGAAGTGTGAAACAGCAGCGAATTCAATTTATTTAATTAGGACCTAAAACATGCAGGATAGGATAGGAATTCAGGGGTGAAAGAAAGTCATCATGACCTTATGGGGCTCCCAAGCTCAGAGCCAAGTGAAAGAGGCAGGCATGGTGAATCAAGATGGCACCGAAACACAGGCAGCAGTGCTAGGCTGGATTAGCAACAACAAGGGGGACCAAGAGAAACCAGGCAGAGAGAGAAATCTCCTCCTCTTCTCGAAGGAGAGGACAAAGGCAAGAATCAAGGTCATGAGAAAGGTCAAGGGCAGGATCACCAAGGGTGAAAGAAGGGAAAAGGGAAAGTAGGAAGCTGGGGTCACGGAAGAGAACATTCAAGAATTGGCCCTTAGAGTGAAGGCAATGCTTGCCTCCCAGGAAGCTCCAGCCAACCTCTACTGAAGAGTGATGTGAAGGGTGAGGCAAGATGGCACTCATGAGTGATGGGAGCAGAATGGACAATCAATGACTTAGGAGGCTATAACATCATCAAGGTGGAGTTAAATGTCCCCCAGGAGGATGGCAGGAGGTGGATGAAGGCAGGACAATGAGGCAGTAGCTGACCACTAAGGAGAGGAGCAGTGCTGTTAAAATACTGGAAGATTTTACAGTGACCATATAATTTATTTCCAAACCTAGGACACTATTAATAATTATACCACAGATATAACCCAAGACAATGGCTACCCTAGTGAATTTTGAGATTTCAATAAGAATGAGGAAAGGGCAGTGTATGCAGGTAAAGGGATGGTCTTTAAATGAGGTGGAAGTTTGCAGTGGGAAAGAATAAAAGATCTGCATGTATTATAGATGAAAGTTTCCAGAACAATGACTAGAAATAAGATCTATTCACATGCAAGCAGAGGCAAGTAGACCTTGGCCCTTATCAAGAATCAAAGAGCATGGAAAGAATTATATTTCTGACATAGGATGTTCACTCTTTTATGATTTAAGTCCTCAAAATGGTTTCTGTATGCCTCATCCCCACGCAGATATTAGAGTAAAATATATTTTTCCTTGTAAAATAGAAATGATATGTTTCCTTTTAAGGAATGAACAAACAGAGCTGTAGGTGTGCTGTACTCCAACCTATGTTCTGCACTGCATCTATCTCATGAGCCAAGGTAGCTCAGAGAGAGGAGGAAGACAGTGAACTGGGGCATCAGATACTTCAGTGGTCCTCCAGTGATAAAGACTCTGGGTCTCAGTTCCTTGATACACAGGAGAAGATGTCTGAAGTGTAA